GTGTGGAAACTTTTTGTCTTCCATTTACCCAATATAAGTTTATTTATTTTCTTTTTTCTTTTTTCTCTTGTCAACTTTTTATACCTTTTAATATCTATTTTTGGAGTCTCAGAGAAGACCATTCAGCCCAATTTCGTTTGTGTGTATCTTTGTGAAATTGGGGACAGCAGAGTATGGGATTAGATGCATTAGGGCATAAATCAAGGTTATTTTCTTAAAATTACCTTTGAGATCTTCCTTTCTAGGCATGAACAAAATCCCTTTTTAAAAAATAAGAAATCTACTTTTTGACAATAGTAATCATTTTAAACACTTTCTTGACTAAAATCATTGGTTGATAGAAATTAGGCAAAGTCTTTATTCCCAACATTAGACAAAGATCAACATTTTTAATAAAAATATTTTTCTTTTATTTTTTTTTGTCAACAATCACCATAAAAATATATATTTAAAATTTTGTTTTAACATTTTTCCTATAAACAAATCTGCAAATATAATGTTAGAAAGTGACCTTTCACGACAGACTCATAAAATTAGAAAATGTACTGTTGAATAAATTTAAAAACTTCTTAAAAGAGAATGGAAAAGAAACCTAAGTAAGGTCCTGTCTTTTTGCCTAGCCGATGTTAGTCTTAGAATACCACAATAGCTTATTATTTGCATACATGGAAACTATAATTATCCACATATACATTATTTATATTTTATATCTTACACATTGCTCTTTTCAATAATCATGTCATATATGAAATAACTGTTGTTTGCTTAACAATTATATATATATATATGTGTATGCAATGTTGAGATTTTTTTCTTAAATAATGAGGAATAGCATATTAGTACATACGTACATTTTTTGCGTCCTGCTTTTGTTTTTTTTTTCTCTGCCAATATTATGATCCAGTGAGTAATGCATGCAGAGCTTCTGACAATCTCTCATTCTTTTTTTTCCTTCTCTCTCCATATATGTAATTATGTAAAGATACTAAATCTTTATTCCATAATATTTTTAACAAGTCGAATTTCAAATTTGCTTTCTTTTTCATAAAGTATATTTAAAGAAATTGCAATATGATTCCAACATCAGTACATCACACTTTTGTCAGAGGTTTAAGAGTATAAATATAAATATAGAGTTTTTATGGTTATTGTCACTTTGAAGTTGATCATGGATTCATCTTTTCTATCGAAGTGGGTTTTATCTTTTTTATTCCCCTTAATTTTCAGTCAAAAGAGAAGACAGTATGGGCACTACATATGCCGAAAAAGCACATGGAACCCAATGTTAAGGGTCTCTTACATCACGTGGTATCTCTAGGTTATATATTATGGTCTTACATATGACATTAAAACTATAAAAAGTGATACTTTGAATGTGGTCAATCTTATTAACCTAGAACACTTGAAACGATACTTTCCATGTTTAGCAACATGTGGTTATTGATGTTTGGTTATTGATGTTGAATTGTAACAAAATAACAGAATGGTTTTACAATTAAAACTTACCATTCTATTCAGCCGATTTTCAGTAGTCCTGTTTTCTCATTAGATTGATCAACATTCTATTTTTGTTTTCAGTTATGATTCTTCTATTTTACAATATTACTAATAGAAGCA